TTCAATTCAGGGACTATGTAGATTTAATATTCAGTAGAACTAAAAATATTCAGGTTTGCTTTCTATTTAAATATCACCTCTTAGTTGAAACCAAAACAGGGGTTGGTTCAGGGAATGAAAGCAGTTCAGTTCAAGATCTTGATTCTTCTGTGGGCAAAAGGAATTCACGTCTCAGTTCCAAAGACTCACTGGAGCTATTTCTTTCTTGGGAGAATTCAATTTTGCCACAACATCTTTTTAATGCTAAGAGAAGCTGGCTCTCAAACCCACTGAGCAGCAGCTCTCAGCGTGGATTCAAATCCCATAGCATCCTGAAATCTTAGATCTGGGGAAACCTGGAAACCCATGTGACCCAGATTCTTCACATTACACGAGAGAAGCCCCGAGACCAGTAACAGGAACCGAGGACTAGAATTCTCGTTCCCCAACTGCTCTCTCCCCAGAACAGTTTCCCTAAATGGAAAGAAAATGAGCTCTAATGATTTATTACATTTTCTTTCTGTAACTAAAAGCCCTTGGACCATTTTTAATCCACTTCTAAAATGAGTACGTGCTAACAGACTTTTTCAAAAATCCAGTATTTGTGTTGTGGAGACGATCTGGACACTTCCTAAATAATGTAGATTATGTTAAATTCTTACAGATGTTCTATGAGATTAGGCATTTGATGGACATGGTAAGCTGAAACCTGAGAAGACAAGTGTAAAGTTTGTTGTATATTTTCTAATTAAAAAAGATAATGTGTACTGATTGCTGAAAATTTGGAAACCTTAAAAAAAAAAAAGGCTCAAAGAAATAAAAATTACTCCAGTAACTACCATCCAGTGATAATCACTGTTAACAACATCATGCTTATGTCTTTACATACTTTTGCAGTAAATGTTTTATGTGCTTTATAAAACTAAATGTTCCCACATTTTACTTTTTTGCAGTCTCTTCTTTCTAAAAAGAAAATTTAAAGATAGGTGAGGACCGTTTTCCAATATCAATAAATAGCATCTAATTTGATTTTTAAAGAGTGCCAAGTATCACATCGTTTAGATAAATCACAATTAACCTTATCAACTCTCTATAGTTCAATGTGTACATTTGTCACTAATATTTTAATATTTTAGACACACATATTTGTGCATTTCCAAAGACAAACATATTGAGTCGGAAGAGATGCACCCTCTTAAGGTCATTAACACATTTTGCCAAATTGCCCTCCATAAAGCTTATCCCAATTTATATAGCCTGAAGCTGTGTGTGAGGTTTCCTATTTTCCTACTCCCTGGGCCACACGCAGGGCTCACATTCATCGTAATTTTGGCCAAGGGCAGCTTTTGCAAAAGCCAAGCTTACCTTTGCGACTGTGATTTTTATTTGTCCCCTTTTGCAGCTCCCACGAATCCTTGGCCATGAGAGGGGTTTCTGGCCTCACTCAGCTGCTCTGACATTGATTCAGCAAATGGTTTTGCCAAAGGACAAAGCTAACGGATGTGTTCACTTGAGAGACCTGTTAGCAGTGGGCCATGGAGAGGGTTTGAGGGGGAAACAGCAGCTTCTCCAGAAGAGCCCCTGACATTCTGGAAAGAGGTGAGCCTTCTTTAATTGCTTTCACCTTCCTCCCCTGCAGGTTACTTCCTTGCTGGCCTCAGACTTCCCTAGGTGGGGGCTCATTTGCATTTCCTCTTGCACTTCTTGCTGGTGGACACACAAAGGTGAAACTAGGAGCAAATTTAACAAGCTGGCAGGAGAAACTATTTCAGGCTGTTCTGGATAAGCTCGGTATTAGCAGGGTATTGCATTCACTGCTAAATCAATGCAAACAACAGGGTGCTTTCTTTCTTTCCATGCAAGCTTTAATCGCCCAGCCCAGTCATAATGAATTCTGGGGCAGAATTAATGTAAAAGAGTAATGGTGATTAGGTAATTATCAAGTACAGAGAGTATTTAACCTTCCCAGTGACAAGACTGCCTAAGACTACCTGATATCATATATGCTCTCTGGAAATAATTAACAATTTAAAAATTATCTAATCTCTACTATTAATCAAGAAATAAGGATCCAGGAGCAATGCCAATCAAGTTGAGTTTTGCCACCATTTAACGTCTGCCAACGTGCTCCTTCTCTCTGGAGTCTTTGCATGTGTCCGTCTCTTTGATTTTTATTTCAGACTAGCTGGACTTAAGCTGTTGCAAGACTCTCGGAATGTCTCAACAAGCTGAGACACATCACCCTCTAAAATTATCCACCCTGAGTAAAATGCCAGGGAGTAACCTTTGGCCTCTGTCTTTTTTAATTGCAACTCAAGCCATTTTTAAGCCATGGGCTGTGACAGCCCCATGCTCTGCTCCCCTTCAACCACCCCCCACTCCCCTCGACACTTGGGCTGTTTTCTCTCTGGAGAGGATGCTTGTGTGTGCGTGTGTCTTTGTTATGTACTGTGTTATGTCTTGATGAAAAAATAAATGTGTTTCTCCCAGACATCCAGTTTTAATTCAACAACAAAGGCAGCCATATGTAGATAGGACTTAGCAACACGTACATGCATGAGTGCACGTGTGCACCCATAAACACACACACATACAACATAGTGAAAAAATTCATCGTGATAAGTGGCAAAGCATGTGCTAGAGGAAAAGTTACTGGAAGGAATTGTAAAGGTCATTTTCTCCAGACCCTCCACAGAAGATAACCCTAAGACACTGAGAAAAGAAATGACTTTTCCAGGACCGTACCACAAATTGAAAAGAGAAAAATAATTAAAATATACTTTTCTGACCTCTGGTTGCAGAATTCTTCCTTAAATGCAATAGAGTCCAAGACCGGCGAAGTTAGATAGCAGTTCATGGAATATAGTTACTGAAATATTGGCTTTTATGGATTCAGTTTCCTCTTCCTAGATTCCCATCTGGCTTTCTTCTTTGACTGGCTGACTCCTTCAAGAAGCAGAACAAGTAGCACCTCCTCCAGGAGGCCTTCTCTGATGCAACCAGCCTTCATTTAAGATCCCTTCTGTGAGCTCCTATAGCATGCTGTGCTGAATCCTAAGCTAGCACTTTTCACATTGTTTAGCATGCACTGGCTTTCTGGTCTTTCACTTCTCCAAAGAGCCTAAGCTAAGGAGGAGGGTGCATGTCATTCACTACTGTATCCTCAGCCCCTAGCCCACTGCACAGTGCTCAGCCAGATCTCATTAAACTATGCAAAATCTCATGGATTCAGGAAATGATCACAAGGGCAGGGGGCATGTGTGCACCAGAGCTCACACCAGGTAATTTATCAACAAACGGAGACAGGCAGACAGGAGAGTGAAGGGAAGCCACTACCAGAAGGTGTTCCTGAAAGGCAAGCACAGCACAGCACAGCCTCAGGCCATCTTGCTCCTCCAGGAAGCAGAGATTCTTATCAGGGTAAAGTCCACTATGGGTCCAAAGAGGACAAAAAGTGACCCTGCTTGTATAGAGAAGCAGAAAGGGAGCAGCACGCAGCAGGGAAACATAGATTCTGATAATAGCCTAAAATGGACAACAGTCTGGATCCCTCCTTGGGATCTACAGCCTGTGTCTCTGAAGAGCACTATAGGGGTTAGGGGGTGGTCCCTAAATTTCTGCCTCTTGAATTAACTGACCATCTGCTTACCACAGGCCCAGGCTTCCTGTGTCTAGTTCGGGGATGCAGATGTTGGTGGGCGTGAGAGTCTATGAATTACACTCAGCCCCTAACCCAGTGCTGGGCTCTCAGGAAGCACAGATGGCTAGCTTGGCCTTTTTCCATGTGTGCTTCTCTTCCTCATTAGGCTACACCTGGGCCATTAATCCTGTGCCTTGAATGTCCTCATTCTTTGTGAACATTTGTTGAGGACTATCATGGTGCCAGTCACTGGACTGGTCACTTGATTATATGTTTCTCAAACTTCTATGATCATAAGATTCATTGAAGTACTCTTTCTTTCTGTTAAAAAATCACAAATCCTGAGAAACCATTCTACGTCTACTAACATGAAGTCTAGAAGAGGGACCAAAAAATATGCATTTTTTCCAAGTACCCCAAGCCACTCACACCATCAGTCAAGTCAGGGAAACACTGGTAGAGACAAATAATAGCAATAACAGTAGTATTAACAATAAAAATAAGTAAATAAAGATAATGGTCCCTTCCTTCAAGGAGTACACAGTTAGGTAAAAGAACATTCTTTGAAATAATCATTCTTGACTCAAGGAGCACTCCCTTCACTTTCTAAGAAAACACATGCAAATAACTACACTTCCATTCTTAGCTCCATGGTATTCATTTGTGTGGTTTTTGTGCAAGTACTGCTCATGAGGCTTGACCTGGAAATCCCCAGATGGGGACCGGCCATCAAGGAGAGAGTTCCAGAGGAGCTTTCGAGAGTGTCAGCCCAACAGGAGACCCTTTGCAGAACTGGGCTCAGGAAATGAAAATGTAAACTTTCAAAAGAGTTCCTTTGGATTTGGAGAAACATTTTGCAGGCAGTTCGGAGAATGAGTAAGAGTAAAAATCAGCCACCCCCAGGAGAAGTTTATGATAAATGAAGTACTTAGTATACATTATGGATAAAAAAAAAAAAAAAATCACCCTGATTCAGCCAGTAGTGCAGAACTTGGAGTCGCTGGGCAAATAGTTCTCAGAAACTGCTGGACAATCAAAATCCTCTCTGGCTGTAAAATGAGCATTGCCACCACCCTGGCTGCCCGATCTCTCCCTCCCCTGTGTGCATCAGCATCTCTGCCCCTTGAGCCACCATCCCCCCTCCCGGTGGGGAACTCGGCCCCTTGCCACCCCCGTGCTTGGCTCCCTTTCAAACATCCTCACTCGACTCCGGGGAGCTTATCATCAGACCATGAGGCATTAATGCATGTTCTGATGGTACAGACACAATGAAGTTATTTCTACATGGTGCCAAGATAATCAGAACCCTTGTTAGAGGAAAAAAAAAATCAATCTGCTTGACAGTTGCTAGATACAAAGACTAAATGATGGACTGCGTTGGTCATTTTCCAGCTCATACATTCTTGGTGTTAAAAATTATTAAATGTTGGGGATTACGCGGTTCAGAGTTTTTGTTTCAAATTTGTTTGTTTGGCTGTTTGTTTTGTCTTGTGTAGCCGTGGGGTCCATTTTTCCAATGAAATGTTATTCGGAAGCCTAACACAGGACGTACGCGAGCCGGGCGCCTCTGCACAGACGACGGGGAGGGATCAGATTCCTGCTCCTCCTTGCCCTTATTTTTTTTCTTCAGTGGTCCTTGTCACCTCCACAGATGCTGAAGACCCAGGACGGAAAAAAAAACTTGTTTAAAAACCACTGATGTCATCCTCCAAGCCCCTTGTTTTACAAATAAGGAAAGTGAGAGCCAGAGAATGGAATGGTCTACCTTAATTCTTGCAATGGCAGCAGAACTGGAAACGAAACTCAGGTCTCTCGGGTTCCATTCATTGTCCTCACCTCCACAGCAGGGAGCTAGAGCTCCTGCATGGTTCTCACCACCCCAGGACAGAGGGGCAGGGGGCAAGAGGAGGAAGCAGCTCTTTCTTGGGCTGTCCATCTAATACGCACTACACTCACTCGTTGTGAGTTCTTTGTAAGCACCTTCTCACTTCTTTGAGGTTCTGAGCTGGATGAAGGCCCAAAATGATGATGTAACATTTTTAAAACCAGAAAGTTATCCTGAAAGAAGATAAAATGCAAAGTTGCAGCTCCCTTTTCCAGTCCACCATCAATTTCCTCCTACTCCAGACCTGCCCATCATAGGGGTGAGTGCCCACAAAGCTCTCTGCCTTCCTCCCTCCGTCCCTCTGCCTCACCCTCCAACGTTGGTTCCAGTCTGCGTCTCCACATTTGCATCTGTCAGTCTTCCCCTCTCCAGAAAATAGTCCTAGCTTCTGCCCAGATTCTTTGTCCTGCTCTAGAGAGCTTCTCCTTTTATTATCGGCCAATAAGGTATTAATACATTAGTAGCCTCAAAGTGCACTTTTTAATGAGGGCCGTGGACATTCATTTAGCGGAATTTGAGAGTGACAATACATTGACATTGGTAAGGTTAATGATCCAATGCTGTATTTCATTGAACAAGTTGAACAACACTTAGCACATTGATCCACGATGTCCTACAATCCATCTTTGCTATTACTTTAATGGTGCCATGGCATCGATGCCCTTTAAGTAATTGTCACCGTGAAAAGACGGACTTGGCCTTGTCATGTCAGATTAGCACTATGCTGAATTGTGAAAGATTTTTGTGTTTTTTTTTTTTTAATCTTTATTTCCTCTCATCTTAGGTCCTTCTGATTGAATAGGGAGGCGGGAGCTTGCAGAGGCCAGGAGGGATATTGTCTGGCTATGTAGTAAGGAGACGGATTGAGCACGCAGAGACACGGTGATCAAAATTTCCTAAGCCCTGATTTCCTTCCCAGAGCTTCAGGCCTGCATGACCTTGGGCAGGCTTCTCAGCCTCCTTAGGTCTCCGTGTCTTCATCTAACAAAGTGGAGATGGTTCATGACACCTTGTCCCCACTTGTTTCACAAATGATGGGTCCTAACTTCCAGACATGATGCTCTGCCCTTTGTTGCAAGGAGAGAGAGGAAAGAGCGGGCTGGGATCTCACTCGAGCCCTGCACTCCAGGATGGGTAGATACTGGTTGTGGACACTGCGTATGTAGCAGAGGCCAATTGCTGAGATGACAACTGGGATGTCTCAAGTCTTGGCAAGCTCTTAGGTCTGCCAGGAGAGGACAATGAGATCCTGACCAGGTAGACACAACATACTGGCAGAGAATAAAAGTGAAGCTGAACAGGCAGTCATTGTTCAGGGCCATGTCCTTGAGATACAGTTGTCTAGCGGGGCTGGATATAGGACAGACCTAAATTCCCACCTTGAAGGTGGGCCTTGGATGGGTGCAAACTTTGAAAGCAGGATCCTTCCTGGCAGCCAGGAAACTGGGCTGTGGCTTGGGGACTACAGAGCTCAGTGATTTCCCTGAGCAGAGCTATCACACAATGCTTTGGCAGGAGCAATCCTAATAGTAACTGAGCGACTGGACCCATTAAGTCTTTAGCCTACAAACTCACTAGATTAAAGAATCTAGTCTATTCAAAGTCTTGCCTTGGCCAGGACTGGCTAAGAACTTGGGAGAGGATACAGAAAAGGAGCTCTCCAAGCTAGCAAGTGAGAAGCCCCATAGCATCCTATGTGGAGGTTAAGGCGGCCGACACATTGAACTTGGTGTTGCCACTTGCTTGCTGTCTGACTTTAATTACCGAACAGGTTATTAAACAGCTCCAAGTTTTAGTTCCCTCCTCTGCAAAAGGGAGAGTAAAATTATTCACAGTGGCATTGTGAGATTCATTCCCACAATGCACGTGGGGTGAGGTAGAGCCTGGTTAGGGGAGCATCAGACTTCAGTTTGAAAGGAATGAAACGAGGTAGAAGAAAGAGGCATGGCATGGGTTTAACATCACTCATTTAACAGATCTGCTATGTACCAGACATTCAACTTGGAGTCGAGAACACAAAGGTAGACCATATGGTATCCCTGCCCCCAAGTTGCCCACAATCTAGCAGAGGAGACAGACTGTGTATTTTGATCTCAACTCTGAAATATTCCCCAAGAAAGGAAAAAAATTAGCAATCTCCAGGGAGAAAAACCGTGGGGCCTCTTTCTTTCCATCACCCCACTCGCTCCCCACGGCTCGTTTCTAATGCTGCCTGTGACCGGATGGGTGAGTTCCACTCTGGAGGAAATTATTAGGGAGCCACGCTTGGCTGCAGAACTAAGCTATACTCTAGAACAAATTTTACCAATAAACTTTATATTTTTATTTCCATCTGTTCGACAACTGTGTCTTATTTCTCAATTGATTCCGAATGCAACAGGGGAGGAAAGGGGGTGTTATTTACTGGTTTCCACAAAATCCAACATGATACAGGTTATTGTACAGCAGAAATATAGCTAGAAACAGTGCAAAGTCTTGGCAAGCATAGAAATAGTGTGCAGCAGCAGGGATTTATTCTATATGGGAGAGAGAGAGAGGGAGAGAGAGAGAGAGACTGGAGTCAAGGAAAGATTCGCAGAACTGGAGGATAGGTTGCTAAATGAAGGATGATTAGGAAAAAGAAAAGAAAAGAAAAGCATCCCACATAAAAAGGTACAGGGGCTTGGAGGTGAGAAAGAGAACTTGTAAAGAAATTTCAGAAAGGGTACAATGTTGCAGAAATGTACAGCAGGAGTATAATTATCGTTTTGTCAACATTGTACCAAATGACACATATCTCCCTGCCCAAATAAGCAATGTCCTAGTAAACCCAAAGAAAAAAGCTCCACCAGAGCTGGCCCTGTGCACACTGGAATGAGACTAGAGTATCTTCGAGGGCGTGGTTTCACCCCCACAACTTGGAATCTTGGGTTTGGGTCCCATCATGCTGCCATCGGTGGAAATTTGGGGGCTCCAGTTTGCCTGTGTGTAAAAGGAACAGTAGGACATATTCTTTAAGAGGTCTTCCAGCCCTGACAGTCCTTGAAGTTCTCATCCTTTCACACTGGTTCTTTCCATCAATTCTTTCCTGACCAACTCTCAACAGAGCACCCTGTTGCCAAGGTCTGTACAGGTGAATCGTCTATGCTTCAGATCTAACGTGGCCAGCACTGGGAGCAGACCCTGTATCCCTGCGAAGCATCACTTGGCACTATTCCATCCCTTCTTCATTATCCACGCAGGGGTGCGTGGTCAATTTCGTAGAGAGGAAACAAACATTGGGCAGTGCCAGTGCTTGGTTTTGAAATCAAACCTAACTCTTGAAGTCCTCCTCATTCTCTTAAGAACTCTGTTACCCAATAGTCTTAACTGTAGATTCATAAAAAAGGCTAATGCCAAGATTGTCTCTGTGCTGAAAACACGGGAACTGTGGGCATGTTTATTCATCAAGGGTGGGTTTCTCAGCCCCGACACGACTGGCATTGGGGATGGATAAGTCTTTATTGTGGGGCTGTGCTGTTCCTTGTAGGGCCTTTACCCCCTTGATGCTATGACAATCCTTGGCAGTTGTAACAACCAAAAATATCTCCAGGCATTCCTCAGTGTCCCCCGGGGGTGAGGATTGAGAGTTGCTGCTTTAGGAGCTTCCAGTTCTCTCTAACTAAGGTGAATGCATTGATCATAAGCACAAATGCATGTTCTCCAAGAGAAGCTAAAGCATATACGTCTCTTTGATTCTATCCATTCCTTTGTTAATTCAACTGATGGAGTTCTTACTGGGTGTTTGCTACCTTTTCTTGGTTATTTAAATTCTCATTTTTGAATCCGTAACTCTATCCACTTTAAGCGTGACGATGCTGGCCACACCACCCCCCTCCATACGCCCTCAGCTGTTCCCTGTGCCACCACCCCAGCAGCCAGTGCCGTTGTCCATTGTCCCACGGCTCATTCATTCCCACCTCTGTGCTTTCATGCCTGCCAGGAACCCACAGGAAATCGCGTGCACCCAGAAAACAGTACGCACCTGAAGGTAAGGCAGTGAATCCTAGTTCTGGTTCTGTCACTTCCCAGCTGTGTGACCTTAGCAGAGTGTGAGCCTCCTAAGTGCCACAGCCTCCTGAGTGTCACAGCCTCCTGAGTGTCACAGCCTCCTGAGTGTCACAGCCTCCTGAGTGTCACAGCCTCCTGCGTGTCACAGCCTCCTGAGTGTCACAGCCTCCTGCGTGTCACAGCCTCCTGAGTGTCACAGCCTCCTGAGTGTCACAGCCTCCTGCGTGTCACAGCACCCTGAGTGTCACAGCCTCCTGAGTGTCACAGCCTCCTGAGTGTCACAGCCTCCTGCGTCACAACCTCCTGAGTGTCACAGCCTCCTGAGTGTCACAGCCTCCTGAGTGTCACAGCCTCCTGAGTGTCACAGCCTCCTGAATGTCATAACCTCCTGTCACAACCTCCTGAGTGTCACAACCTCCTGAGTGTCACAGCCTCCTGAGTGTCACAGCCTCCTGAATGTCATAACCTCCTGTCACAGCCTCCTGAGTGTCACAGCACCCTGAGTGTCACAGCCTCCTGAGTGTCACAACCTCCTGAGTGTCACAGCCTTCTGAGTGTCACAGCCTCCTGGGTGTCACAGCCTACTGAGTGCCACAGCCTCCTGAGTGTCACAGCCTCCTGGGTGTCACAACCTCCTGAGTGTCACAGCCTCCTGAGTGTCACAGCCTACTGAGTGTCACAGCCTCCTGAGTGTCACAACCTCCTGGGTGTCACAGCCTCCTTGGTGTCACAACCTCCTGAGTGTCACAGCCTCCTGGGTGTCACAACCTCCTGAGTGTCACAGCCTCCTGAGTGTCACAGCACCCTGAGTGTCACAGCCTCCTGAGTGTCACAGCCTCCTGGGTGTCACAGCCTCCTGGGTGTCACAACCTCCTGAGTGTCACAGCCTCCTGAGTGTCACAGTCTCCTGAGTGTCACAGCCTCCTGAGTGTCACAGCCTCCTGAGTGTCACAGCCTCATCTGTGAAATGGGAATGATGACGGCCCATCCCCGCCTACCCACCTACTTGTTTTGAAGGAAAAATAAGAAAATGGCAGAGGAAGTGCCCTGAAAGCTACAAAGCTGCACAAAAGAGAGAGATTGTTATTATCATGATCATTATCTGCAAAACAAAAGATCTGGGAAGGAAAACAGTATTAGCACAGACTGCTTACCCAGCAGAGAGAAAGCCGGATGAGGGAGTGAAATCGCCCAGACTGGGCACAGGGGAAGGAGTTGGAGGAGAAAAGCACGGTCCCTTTGCTGTTTTGGGGGCGACTAAAATCGCTTCCTCCAGGAGCGTGAGGCCGAAGACACGAGGCCCCAGCGTGGCCGTGAGAAGGGACTCTACTGGGCCCCTAGGACAGGGTTGTTGATGAGGCCTGGAGCTGAGGTTTCAAGTATGACTGCAAAAAGGCCGGGTGCTGCGTGCAGAGGGGACGTCGAGGAGATCGTCTGTTAATGTGCGTTAGGTGCCAGCGCTGTGCTAGGAATGGGTGGTCCCTGCTGACGCTTTCATAACCGACGTGTCTGGAAAGCTCGGGAAAGCCTGTGTGTGCTCCCTTCCCAGCCCAGGTGGTCCTGTCTACACTAGGACTCCTATGCCGTCCCAACCTCCCAATGTAAGGCCTCTACATTGCACAGGGGAAAAAAAAAAAAGGTAGCTTTTGGAAACATACCAGAACATGGAGCAGGGTAGTTCGTGAAATCACTTATGTGAATCGTGAAGCATGTGTCGTGGTGCTGTTTTTAAGTTATAACAGTGGTAATGATGATAGTAGCAAGCATGGACACAACGCCTAGTATATGCCAGGTACTACGTTAAAGACTTTGAAGTTCATTCATCAATTAACCAAAAATTAAGAGTGAAAATAAATATGAGCACCATTGCACAGACAGGCCTGCCCACACTCTCTTCCCACGACCTAACTGTTTCCATGGTTCTGTGTGTCTCGATTTCCAATGAAAGGAAAAAGCAAAGTATGTCTGATGTGGGCAAGAGCTCAGGGAGTACCAGTGAGAGCTACCACATCACAGGCGGTAGATAAGAGAACAAAGGAGGAGGGGTGAGGCTGGGGGGTTCGCCTTGCAGATTCTGTGGCTGTGAGGGACACAGCCAGTCAACAACTACAGGACAAGGGTCAATTTGTCAGCAAATGTGGAGTTAGGAGCCCTGGGGGAAGTTGGAGACGATATCAATTTAGGTGACACAATAGGAATTTCCCCTTTTCCACTCAGGTAGAGGTTTTAAGAGGACTGAATTCTCCCACAATTCTTTGAAATAACTGTTGTTTGCTTATGTACAAAGGTGTATGACTAACCTATAGGACCATCAGGGTCCTGCAAAGAGACACTTTGACACTGAAGGCAAATGCTCTACCTCCCGACAAGAGCAACATGGTGCTTCGGTGATGTTTAGCTAAATGCTCCCTCTATGCCTGAGTAAAGAGACCTCGGTACCCCGAGATCTCACTTTTGGAGAGACTTTGTGAACATAAATCATATCGATACCTGGAAGTTGTGATTTTTTTTTTTTTATTTTGTTTGAGGTCAAACCCTTCTTTCTGAGCCAGCGATCATTTCCTTTGCACTAAGACAGGCAGGAAGGAGAGGCAGCGTTCACTGACGCCCTGTCAGCAGGCTGTGGTTTAAACCTGAAAGGATGTCCCCGTTCATCGTGGGCACGGCCATCGTTTTGATCTGCGAGCTCCTGACTTGCCACCCAGGCTTGTGTGGTCCCAGCACACATCCACGGCAGCTGGAGATGCATTTCCTAGCTAAATGCCGCGCCTCCCGTGTTTAAAATCACTTAAAAGCTTATCTGTTTGCATGTGCCTGTGCTGCCCAATTCAGCACTTTCTATGTTGTTCCACTTAATCCTTAAAACAACCCCGAGAAGGCCAGCACTGTTATTCCTACGTTTATCATCGCATTTTGTAACTGACAAAATGAGGCTGCGAAAGAGCAGATAACATTTTCCAAGGTCACCCAAGATCAGGAAGCGACAGAGGAGAATCCCAGCCTGAGTGATCTTCAGAGTTGGCAGCCTCGGAAGACCGTGAACTTCACCCTTCGCCACGTTGCGTTCCTTGACTGGCTGGACGTTTGGTAGCTTCTCGGAAGGCCTGCTCTGTCTGACGCACTAACAGCGGGCACCCTCGATGGCAGCGGCCGGGGCGCAAGGCATCCGTGGGCCCATAACTCACGTCCCTTATGGCTGCTGCTTCCAGACTCGCGCCCAGCCAGCAGAAGGGCGCCTGTGGCTTCTGGTGCAGCTGCTTGGGACACGGAAAGCACCCAGGAGCCTCCAGAGAGAGGACAGCAGTGGCGCAAAACCTCCCGATGTTGGGTGTGGGCTCTGTCCTTTTCTCGCTCTCTATTTTCCTTCTAAATTACTTTTGATTATGCAGCATCTGCTTCCTTCTGAGATGCATATGCTTCTCCCCCGAAATCTGCATGCCTGTCGAGTAGCCCATACAGAGGGCTGCATACAAATGCACAGCTGAAAGTTGTCTTTAGAAGCCGCCCATAAATCAGATCTACAAGCTCAGCTAGCAGATCTCCGGGAAGTGGCAGACAGCGGCGTGGGCAAAGACAGACAATGCCAGACCTCCCCAGTCATCTGATAGCTTGGAGACTTTCTGTTCCTCTGGGGACAGGCAGAGAGCAAGCAATCAGCAAGGAGAAACTTTCCGTCCTTCCTCTGGATAGACAGGCAGCCCCTCGGGCATCGGAAGGAAAAGAGTGGATCTGGGACGGCAGGATGAGCCCACACAACTCAAAGAGGGAGAAGCAGATGGTGCTCTCGTGTCGGTAAACCTTCACGGCAGCGTATCCGCAGCCCCCGTCTTCCAGTCCCACTCTGAACCTCAGTGGGTTTAGTCACTCGTGTTCTCACGTTAGCCCCCAAATCCTCCAGGCCCTGATGTCATTGCCGACGCAGGCTCTTTCTCTTACTTTGCTTCTCTTTCTCCCTGTGTGCTTACTAGGTGTCTTGCATATACTCACAATGGAAAGACATTGGTAGAGTTGATTTGCATTCGATGAGTTGATCTGAGTTGGTAGAAAATAAGAAAACTCACAACAAAATAAATAATTATTAAAGCCAATACCCCCAAGAAGGTGAGTAAAGGAACTTTCCATACTGAAGAAGCCAGCTCTTGTTAGAGAGGATAGAGAGGTCATTGCACTTCCTTTCTCCAACAAATATGTTCTGGGAGGGGACTGGACACTGTGTCCCAGGGGCCTATCCAAGCCAGAGCAGGAGACAATTTCTGCCTATAATTTCAGTGTGTGGAGCCAAGGAACAATTAGAGAAAATAGGCTCTTACTGCAAGCCAGGAACTTTAAATGGATTATCGTTGTTTTTACAGCTTTATTGAGGTATAATTGACGTACAATCAACCACACATATTTAAAATATGCAATATGATAAAGTTTGACATATGCATACTGCAATGAAATTATCACCTCAATCAAGTGAGTGAACATGTCTATCACGCCATTACCCCTCAACATTTCCTTGTCCCTTAACTTCTGTCCCTCCCACACACCTCCCCAGGCAATCGCTGACCTGTTTTCTGTTGCTATAGATTTGTTTGCATTTTCTAACATTTTTAAATAAATGGAATCATGCAGTATGTCCGCAGTAGTTCACTTCATTATATTGCTGAGTAGTATATACCGCAATTCATTTATCCATTCACCTGTTGATGGGCATTGGGATTGTTTCCAGTTTTGCACAGTTACAAATAAAACTGCTATGAATAGTTGTGTACAAGTTCTTTACAGTGACATGTGTTTTCATTTCTGTTGGGTAAATATCTAGGAGTGGAATCGCTGGATCATGTGGTAGACTTATGCTGAATGTTTAAGAAGCTGTCAACCATTTTTGCAAAGTGGTTATACCATGTTACATTAGCACTACTAGTGCATAAGCAGCCCAGTTCCAACACATCCCTGCCAACACTTAGTCAATCGCTTTAATTTTAGCTATTCTAACAGGTAGTGGCACATAATTGTGGTTTTCATTTGCATTTTCCTAATGACTAATTTTGTTGACTATAACTTCATGTGTTTATTTGCCATCTGTGTATCTTCTT